CCCTAACTATTCTATGATTCTATGATAAGTAGCAGAAATCTATGTGCATAACACTACAATTACACCACCATTACCATTCCTCAGCAAGAGGCTGCAAAACTCTACAGGCAGTAAATATGGTATGCCTCTCATTCTCTGTCCTTAGGAGTACCTTCAGTGTCTGTATCTGATCTTACTGAATGCCCAGGAACTGTCCCTGGGTAATCTTTGTTCCTGACAGGACACCAAAAGACAATTATTTTTACATGGTATTTCCTCTCCCCTCCTTTCGTGCGCAGCAGACTCCATCACTTATCAACCCCTGCCCTTCCCTCTTCTGGCAAGGCCAGCAGCAAAACGCCACACAGTACAGCACAGCCTGCTTTCAGCCCCTCCAGCAAACTGGTGCCAGAAAACACCCAGCACAGAATTATGTCCAGACTGAAACACCCCAGCAGCATGAAATACGAGAACTGTATAAGCTTCAACACAGCGGTGCTCAAAACCGTTTATCAGTTGGCACAGCACATACAGTAGTAGTAGAATTCTCAGTGTTATCACCTGTTCACAGGCTTGGACCACCAGCTTTAACACTTTATCTCTAGGCGGCACCATTTGCAGTACGTAACTTTATAGAAACACTTAAATGTTTCAAAGCGCCATCTGCTGGTACTTTCGTTATTTGCATGCACCTACTCCGGAACTAGTCCCCGTGCTTTTCAGTTGGCGATACCTTCGACCCCAAAGAATCACAGCAACCTTTATTTTTTTTAATACATCATGAAAGTGGTTTGATACGTCTACACTACCATTATGACAGCCTGGCAAGTCATCAGAAACGAAAGTAAGTCCTTCCACAGCAGGTGAAGGCTGGTAATTCAACTTTAAAGATGGACCAGACAGTAGTACTTGACAGTTCAACTGGAATGCAGTGATTTTCTTTTAAAATACACCTTATCATAGGTCTATATTTAGCTTCACAATCAGGGTAGAAGAATCCTGTCTTTCTGCGAAGTTACATCCAGAAGTTACCAGCTTCCACTAGTTATGAGCTACAAGTAACTACTACACTTCAGAAAAATAGTAGGGCTTATTTAAATTTACTTAACTTTTTAATACAGCAAAATTTCAGTAACAGACCAAGCCTTAGTAGCAACAATGACCATACAATAGCCACTGCCCTCTGGATTTAGGGAAAACTACCTCAGTAAAGATGTAAATCCAAGGAAAGCTAAATTACTGTCTGTATTTACCCAAATCTCAAAGATTACACTTAAAATTACTTACAAATGACAGGAACAGTTACTGTCAGGAACTGGCTGAAGTCTGCTTAAGCTTTCTGTGCAAGGAACAGACCTAACATTACCTGCAATGAATTAGTTAACCTCTCCAATTTTGTTTCCCTACCTTCCCCACCCCCCTGCGTTTTCTAAATCTCAAATTCTTCCTCCTGTGACTGTTTTCTTTCCCAGTTCTTCCTACAGGACACAAAGAGGCACAGTCCCACATGGACAAAATACATTTGCTGTGAATGACTAGCTCACTTTTCTAACTTGAGGCTGTCAGATAAAAAAACCCAAACCCAACAGTTTAAGCATGGACACAAACTGTATGGACGGTCTAGAGCAGCAACAACCACTACCCGATTTGATAGGGTAGGATAACAATACAGAAACCACGGCTGCACACTGGATTCACTCTGAGAACTTCCTGTTTACAGGCAGCTTCCCAAAACAAGCAGGTTTCTAAGACACCAAACCAACCACTCACAGACAAGACAAACTTGGTTAATGAAAATTTATTCTTTCAGGTCATAGCCAACTCTTACGCGACCAGGGCAGAAGCTGTTGATGATTCACTAAGAGAGAAGAAGAGAGAAATATTAATTGCCGAGGCACTTTTTCAAACTAGTTGTCAAAAAGTGCTTCAGTTCAAAGCTTTAACTACCGGTCCTGAGCTGAATCACTCACTACCTGTTTACATTTTTTTATGCCATAAAGATTTTACTCTTCCTTTTAAAATACAAAATACTAGGGTAACAGCACAAAAAACATATATTCAAAACCCCATCTAGCTGCATTTGCGTCTTTTCAGAAAGAAAGAAGCTAACCCTAACATCTGTGGGAATTCTCCTATGTTGGCTTAATTTTCCTAGAGGAAAAACTACAAGTTACATTCATTTTTGCCACAGCTACTAAGCTGCATCTCAATAAATTCTGAAAGTAACACAAACCATGTAAGTATCTGAGAATGAAGACTACAGTTTGTACAAAGTGTTATAAAAACTACCTAGTAGTGACTTAACTTCTTGAGACAACTATTTTTTCTGGAGTTGTGACGGTCATTTTACCCAGCAGAAGTTTCATGAATTTATCAATTAATATTTATGAAAATACCTATTCTTTGCTGCCTGGTTTAACTGTATGCTTGATCATAACGTACATTTCACCCTTTGAGTAACAGCCCCAGCTTATTATTTACAAAACCTATAGGACTTCAATGAAATAGTAACTTAAGAGAAGACTTACTACTTCCAATTGGGTGGCAGCACTCTCTTAGTTTTGTAGTAGCGAGCCAACCTATGGATTCTGCTTTCAATCAGAATGAGGCGGAACTTGGCATCTTTATCCTTGAAAAGGAAGTTATGTTACAACCAAGCACTACTTCGACTTCTCAATGATGTACAATTCAGATGAGCTTTAATATAGTAAAAAGATCCACAGCTACTGCTACAAACTCCACAAGCCTGTTTCCAAAGTCTGATGAACCCAGTAAAATCAGAACAAGACCAAAACAGAACTGGTTTAAGCAACTATTTTAAGATCCTTTGGACAGACTTAGACCGTTCTCCTTTACTGAAATGCCTCCCCAAAGTTTACTCAAAGGGAGTGCCTAAGAAGAAGTACACCAAGAGTGTTTGCTTTGTCAATTTGTAAACTACTGTATTATTTTAAAACAAACATAGCTAATAACCTAGTTAAATTAGCACCCACCTTTCTGTTTCTCTCAAGATGTTTGCGAACAGCAACAGCTTTCTTGATCAAGTGGTAAAGATCCTCTGGAAGGTCTGGGGCCAGTCCCTTCGATTTAAGGATTCTCAAAATTTTGTTGCCAGTAACAAAGCGAACCTGGGCAACACCATGGGAATCCCTCAGGATCACACCTGAAACAAACATTCACATCTCACACTAGAACAAAAACCTTACATGAACAAATCTTGTGAAACCAACCTTACAGTTACAAGATATCCAAAGAAGGTCCTGACTAAAAACCTTTCTGGTGGAAACTGCACAAATAGGAGACAATGAGCAAGCAAAATAAACTTACAGAAGCTGAAACACTATCAGATAGCACTTAACAGGCAACTAATCCATCCATCACATTTAGGCTAGCAACGTATTTAGTGCTACAATACTGAACTCATTAAGCGCACCTCATTAAAGCTAGGTATTCAATCACCATTTCTCTATGGTTAAGAAAATATGTCAAAGACATCTTTGTTGTAAAAAAAATGTACTCTGTCATAGGGATCATTAATACTCTCAGGATTACAACTGAAAAAACCCCTTTCTCATAGCACATAATGACAATGCATAGCTCATGATCATATAAAGTTGCATTACACATGCACTTAAGCAGAGTTCTAGAGGGACCTAAACTAATGGAATTTGTCTATTAACGTAGCTACAGCATCTGGCTCAGTAAGTTCCTAAACATAGGGCTGCCAATATTTGAGATGGGATGTCAAGTTTTTCTTCAAGGAACTGGACAGATTAAACCTCCCTATAACATCTCAGTGATTCATAAGCCTTACCAATCTGCGAGGGAGTAAGGCCTTTTTTGGCGAGCTTGTAGATCTGTTCCTTTACATCATCAGAAGTAAGTTTCAGCCACTAATGAAAATTAGGGGGGAAATAAAAATAACAAAAGAAAATATTAATGGACACTGCTTAATACAGAGACACAGGGTGGCTAAATGAAAGCTTTTGATAAATGGTAGAAATAGATGCTTTGTAACGCTTGAAAAAACAATCAAGAACTGAAATTGTATTTCTAATGATACAGAAACTTTTTTGCATATTGCAAACCTAAAGTGCCAGTGAAATACGGTGGGGGAAGGCGTTGAAAGAAGAAAGTCTCTGTTTAAAAGACCCCATATAGCCTCCAACCAGCTGCTTTATCATCAGTTTTCTTAAACTGCCACATGAGAAGAATAAATACAAATTTAGAAGGAAAAAAAAAAAAAATCACTGCTCTTGGCAAGGAACTCTTTAATTGGACTTTTGACAGAAAAAAAAGTGGAAAACCATTCAGCCACCTCTTAGTACAGCACCTATAGAACTAGTGAAAATCAGATTTCAAGTACACCACTGATAAATGGAACAAATGGATTTACTTAGACAAGACTGCACGCATCCTATTACTTCTACATTAGACTGTGCTGACAAAGCCATTGCTTCCGTGATTATTAATGGGAAGACAACACCAACATACAAGGTAATCATTGCTCCTTCAATAAACTACAATACCTCTTTTTTTTTTTTCTCCTTTTTAATATTGTCACAATATGAAATAGAAAAGCACAGCAAAAAAAATCTCTTCGGAAGTGCTTTACAGACTACAATTCAAAACAGAATGCAAATAAAACTAAGTAAAAATGCCACAGGGTTTTTTAAAAACAAGCATAGCATTTCAGCATCCTGCTCATTACTAAACTTTTTAACCACCAAGGGTACTTTAAGCAGCTTAACATTTCCATACTTTAAATTTGATCTCTTTATTTCCTTATTTTGTGCTTTAATTTCACACTTTTCAGTACATGCTTTTTCATATACACCACAAATTGATCTTTCTGCCAAGAAACAGATCCTCACAGTCTTAAAAAGCAAGACAGATTATTACGCAGCTGTTCATTAGGCTGACAGGTAAGCCCCTGAAGTGGAAATACCCTGGATGCACTACTGGCAAGCTAAAATTAAGTTAGTGCTCTACACAGAAAATTACTGTTGGAAATAGCTTAGAAAAAAAGTAATTTTATTCCATAATGGCAAATGCCAAACTCACGTGTGAGGAGAACAGTTTAATTTCTGTGAATTATTCACATACAGACTAAAACCAACTTAAGTAGCTCTTAAATGATAGGAGGTACAAAGAAGAAAAGAGATTTCCCCCCCCCAACAAATCACCTGTCCAGAAAACGATACATGCTTCCTCAATATCCTAAAGACCACAGGGTGATGGAGCATTTTATCAGGCCATAATTTAAAGATAGTGAACATCGTGACATAAAATATTACAATGGGTTTTTTGGGTTTTTTTTTCCTTCTGTTTCTTTTCCTGGGCACCGCTAAGCCGCGCTACGGGGACCGGACCCTGCACCGAACGCAAGGCAGCCCGCCGAAGCGCGCACAGGCCGGGGAAGTTACTTACCGTCGGCACGCTGCGCCTGTAGGGCAAGGCTGACTGGGACAAGCCCTTTCTGTGGGGAAGAAGCAGATCACACACTAAGCGGAGCCGGACAAGCTAGGCTGCCGCCCGACACCCCCCGCCCCCC